TTTTTCTTGATTTTCACCCGACTTATTTTCATTTTAACTTTTAAATGAAGTACCCTTTTGTCGCGGACCACTCACCCGTCCTGGTGGCCGCGAACACGCCCAGCGTGGCGGCGTACATGAAGCGGCTGGAGCGGCCGCAGGCGCGGTGCAGCAGCGGCGCGCTCAGCCGGCACAGCGTGTCCGTCACGCCGAACACGGACATGATGTCGGCCGCCTCACGCGTCGAGAATCCGCGCCGGCCCAGCACGAAGGGCAGGAACTGGACGAAGTTGATGTCGGCGAACAGCCCCAGCGAGGTGCCCACCAGCAGGCAGGCGAACGACGGGCTGCGCAGCAGCTCCAAGTCGAAGAAGGCCACCACGGAGCGCAGCGCACCGTACACGCGAACTGGGGGCGACTAAACGAAGCAGAGGGTTTTTACTGTTTCTTGAAGGGTTTAGATTAGGGCACCTTCGGCTGAGCCTTTTCTGAAATCGTAGATCAACACTCACACTTTCAGCCTTCTCGCCTTGGGTGAGGTCGGTCTTGAGCATGGGCGTCTCCGCCTCCGCGGCGGGGGTCGCCGTCGTGGGTGGGGGCGGGCGCGCCGCGGGCAGGGGCCGGAGCAGCACGGCGCCGACCAGCGACTGCAGCAGGACGCCGCCGAGCGCGAGCATGGCGCCGCTGGGGCCGAAGTGGCCGGAGGCGGCGCTGATGACCTGCGGCGTGAGGATGGCGGCAGCGCCCGTCAGCGCCATGGCCACGGCCGTGGCGAGCGTGCGCCGCGACCGGAAGTACGTGTTGAGCGCCACGATGTACGCCGGGTAGCTCAGGCTCAGCCCGGACGCTGGGGGGGTGCACAAGGGTGGGGCGTTAGCGCTGGCCTGCCATCCACCACATGGGTATATCCACCGCCACTGCCGTACCCATGAGCAGGCTGAAGTACAGGGTGAACTCGATGAAGGTCCTGGCCGTGGAGGAGAGCGCGAGCCCGGCAGCGGCCAGCAGCGCGCCCCCGGCCGCCGCCCAGCGGAAGCCCCACCGGCGGATGATCGGCCCGGCCACCACCCCTGCGCAGAGAGACGGGGGATGCCACCACGGCGGCGGTAAGCTCTACTGCTCTCGTTCGTGTGCAAAAAAGGGCTGCTGCTGCCTCCCCCGCACTCGTCGTCCACCCTTTATACCGAGGACGAAGCTGACCGCCTGGCAGAGGGTGATGATGGTGGTGCCCTCGCTGTCAGAGATGTCGAGGGACTTGAAGACGTCCTTCAGGACCAGCCCCATCATCTGGACAAGCTGGATGGCGCACGCCTGTAATGGAGGTGAGGAGAAGGAGCAGAGGTCGGTCAGTAAACTTATTATTGGCCGGCGGCGGGTATCGGCCGCGGGGCTTAGCGCAGCAGCAGCAGCAGTGCAGAGTCGGGGCATTCGCATACCATGTTGGCGACGTAGCAGCCCACGATGACCCAGCCGTAGCCGCCCTCGGGCGGGGCGGGCGGGGAGGCCCCCATGGTCCACGCTCCAGCAGCAAAGTCACATCAAACTACCGTCGACACCACAAAAATAGAACGGGGATAATGATACCATACGTCTACTGTTACTGAATAAGTTACCATTACATCACAAAGTACTTTTCCAATGTATATTTTTGCTTAATTTTTACTACCTGGAAAAACCGTCAAGGAGTAGCCCCGCGTCCGCGTTTGACAAACGTGTCCGTGGTGTCGACGCACGTGTGCTGCCCCGCTCAGCCTCTCCGCCTCACTGCAGCAGCCGCAGCCGCCCTCGTTGTCACCAGACGGGTAAAGTGTTAAGCTCGCAGTTACAACAGAGAGATAGCGAGGCGTCGGCGGCACGCCGCCGCGGTGTGTCCACGGCCTAGACGCCACTACACTATAGGGCCCCGCCAAGCCCAAGGCCTCGCTGCTCGCCCTGTCCGCCTGCATCGGCCCGTGTTAGAACAGTTGTACTTCACTTCGCCTTCACCGAGAGTGAAAGCAAGGCCCACTTTAGTAAATAGCGGCAATTTTTTTTTCT